TACACCCACCCCCAGGGGAGTACTCCCTTATATAAGCTATATAGGTTTGTGCTGCCTCAAAGTGTAGGGTTTTTGCGCCGTTTCAGTCTTAAACGGGTATAGATTTTGCCCATTTTGGTCTGGAATCAGTGCCAGATCCAGTCCTTGAGATAAGGAGGAGCCCGGTCATTCAGACCCTTAAATAAGGGGAGGGGGTCTGGCTCCAAAAAAATTTTTTTGGCGTAAAAATCAGGGGGGGTGGGCCTCTCCCCTGGATCCTCCACTGAGAATTGGATATGGAGTATATGGAGGTATGGACAGTAAGCAGGAGCCCATCAAATTTGATGGGCTCCTGACAGTAAGGCTATGCTAAAGCTACCCACGGATTGATAGTTGAGTCAAACTCCTTGGCTGTCTTTAACTCAAATTGCTCCCCTACCTAGCTACGAATTACCAGACGTTTTTTACTTTCATACTTTTTGCCCTATATTATGATTCACTTATTTTTGTATATGTATTATCAGATTTTATTCATTAACTTTTATCCGAGCATTGTATATATTTTATGATCGTTTCTTTTAATAGTTGGTGCGATGTCTGTAACAGATTTTACCAACTTAATAAATGTAGGTGTAGATGTATTTGTCGTTTCAACTCCAAATGTATCAGAAAGAAAGAGTAATGAGCAAATTCGAAATGGATTTTAAAAAATCTTGTTTGAGCTCTAGTCTAAATTCTACCTATACCAGGTCTGAAAATGGGCTTGGATTTAAGAGACGGGTCTGAAACGGGTGTGAAAAATAACATTTTTTTAGTGTGAAATAGGGTCAGGATTTTAAATACTGGGCGGCACACGCCCACCAAAAATTCTCGGGAATACCCCCCACAACCCCCGGGGTACCTGCCAGGTATCTAAGAAAAATACTTAAATACGAAAAAAATACGAAAACAGGTTCCAATCAGTTTGCGGTGGCAACTTCCTACAGACCCATGGAACAGCCATGGGAACAAAGATGGCCGTTGCTTTTGCTAACATCTTAATGGCCAGAATAGAAAACCAGATATTGAGACAGAGTTGTATTGAACTGTACCCTGGTCACCAGAGGATTTTTCTCGGGTGCGGCGGGATGCTTCGGTGTCGCCACAGGCCAACAGATCTTTGGCCGAAGGCAGAAGTCACTAGAGGCGAAGCCGTGACAAAAAAAGCTTTTCACGCGGGTCACTTTAAACGGCTTTACCAAACCGGAAACGGCACATAAAAGTCTCTGGGCACCCAGGCTAATTGAACCGCTGTTTCGGAAAAGATTACTGGACGATGTGTTTTCCCTATGGAACCTAGACAAAATAAAGAGCTAAAATTATGGAAAAAGCAAATACTATCAAATTAACGGCTAAGATGTCAGAAACAGAGATCACGTTCTTGGACACAAAAGTGTACAAAGGGATTAGATTTAACAAGGAGCCAAACACATAAACCAACCAGGAGCCCATGAGCCAACGTACAGAAGCCTTTCGCGTACTCTTGGCAACCACCAGGCGTGAAGAAATGCTTCATTAAAGGAGAAGCGCTCAGGCGTCTAAGGTCTGTTCCTCTCATGCTCAAACCACTTTTGAGGACACTATTAGAAATTTCAAAAATCGCCAGGTAAAAAGAGGCTACCCGGTCCCTATTGCGAGAAAGTGCCTCTCTGAGTTAAAATCCGCCGACAGGAAAACAGCCCTTCAACAGAGCAACAAATCTGCACGTAAAACACCACTACCATTTGTTGCAAAATAGCTGCTTTAGTTAGACTGAAGAAAATACTATCGGAAAATGCACCTTATACAACACCAACGACGGCTAAGAGAAATCTTTAAGGAATATCATATCGCAAGGGAAAATTCCTTTAAGGATCACCTATTAACTAAGTGCAGGAGTTGTGTGTTGCGAGTGTCGTCACCAAGTTTTAAACCTGGTAAACTGAGATGCGTCAAAGTTTGATCCCATGCTTTCTTGGTTAAGTCCGACCAAGGGAGTCCCAGGAGACCGAAGGGGATTGTAGTGTACGCCATTTTCTCTGTCCCCCCATCCGGCCTTGTCATGACGCAAGTTA